AATAGCTGATTGTCTGAGTACATTTATGGCTGGCGATTTTCATCATCCCTCCGTGTTGTTAGATTCTATAAAAGCTGCTTAGGTGCCTTTCTGCTTGTATTCAACTCTCTACTCTGATGCATTGACGTTATTTGCCTTGACCACCATATCTAAACATTTTTTACACATTACTGTCGCAGCGAATACGGGATTTCAGGTGAAGGTAGAGAAGACAGGTGATGATGATACCCAACCAACGCCATCAACAACAACAAACTCCAATCACCATGAACGGGAGAAACTTAAAGGAAGTAGCCTCCTTCACCTATCTAGGGAGCACTGTTTCAACTGCAGGCGGTGGCGGCACAGACGATGACGTCAAATGCTGCCAGCCACTTTGACTGTGATTTCGATCAAGTCTTGCGAATGTAAATGTGCGCAGACGGGTTGGTTGCTGACGAAATCCCAACTCGGATACTAAAGGTCACTTTGGCATTTGTCAATTTTCATCATCTGTAGCACTGACTAGCGAGATATGCGGTTAGCTATCAGAGGACGACCATACTGCACTGCAATCCGTGCTGATTGTGAGACATGGCCGTTGAAAGTAGAAGACATGAATTGGTTACAGAGTTTCCATCATTTGTGTCTTCGTAGCACAGCTCGTGTTTAATAGAATCACCGTGTAACCAATGTTGAGGTCAGGCGAAGGGTACCAGGGAAGACAGACAGATCAACTGGTCAGGTGGTGAACCTTCATCGACTGAGACGATTTGAGCATGTACTGCGCATACCGAGCTACCGCCTACCTCGACGTGCCATGCTAGGGGAAAGCTGAATCAGGCTAGAAGAGGGTTTAGGGTGGCTAAACCGAGACTTGGCACCAATCTATGGAGTCTCTAGTTGTTGGTCTGAGCTGTGTGGGGAGATGCAGACTACCTGGTTGGGATCCTTTAGGCAACAGGAATCAGTGATTGAGAACTCCTGGTGACATGACTGAAAATCGGTCACAATGGTGCAGATTTGTTCACTTCTTGACGTTTTCTGAGACTTGAATATTTGCCTTAACCTTTAGCTGGAATTTGTTTTTTCTCTCACACAACTTTATCTACTTTGGTGTCATTTTTTCTACTCACTTTTTCTTTGTATACTATTGTGAAGGGTGGCACGTTGAAGTGGTACACTTGTGTGCAAGGTCTTACATTGGTTCTGTCTGTCTGGTAGTGGGATCAGCCCTAGTGTTTCACTGACAAGTTTTCTATATGCATAAGAAGAGCTCGCATAGTTTTCACAATCTTAAGCCATTAATGGCGCTGTCATGATGTTTGACTGCCTATTACAGCGAGTTCACTGTGCTGATGTTTGCTGTTTAATACTTTTTAGCTGTAAAACGCGTCCACTAAGCATAGAAAAGGCCTCGCTTTTTTGACTGCTATCGCCTTCACAGCATACGTTTTGTCACCATCATCACTATCAACACAGGACCAGGCATTACTGCGTAACGGTCCGAGTTACCACAACTCATATCACCACATCAAGTTAAAAGGCGGTGAAGTACAAGATGAAGATAAGAAAATTCGATCAGAAGAAATATAAAGTACGAAAAGAGGAAAAGAAAGAATGAGAAAATGGTGAGATTCGGTATAGCGTGAAGATGAGGATAATGTGTGTATACATCTGCGCCACTGACATCAGTTCCGAGCCATATCACCTAGAGTCTCCAACCACTGGTTTCTCCTGTCCTGCGGAACCCAACCAGCTAGTCTACATCGCCCCACATGGCTCAAACCAATAGTCAAACACTTTATATATTTATGTCATGTTTTAGTCTGGCCACCCTGGGGCTCTTTCCAGCCTGGACCTTTTTTGGTTAACATTGTGTGACGAGGCAATCGACGACTAGGCATACGTAACACGTGTCCCAACCATCTCAGTCGGTGAAGGTTCACAACCTCGTCAACTGATTTACCCCTTCTCCCTGAAACTCTATACCTGACTTCTGCGTTACTCACGTGGTGACACCACGGAATACAGCTTATAGTGCGAAGGCAACGGTGGTCAAACACTTGAAGCCTTCTCATGTCTTCCACCTTCAATGGCCATTTTTCACAGCCATACAGTAGAACAGAGCGGACTGCTGTGCAGTACACGCGAGTCTTAATAGACAATTGGATATCACGGCGGCGCCACAGGTGACGTAAGTTGGCAAAACCAAGCCGAGCGTTTTGTATTCGTGCAGAAATTTTGTTGGCCACTGAGCCACTAGGGCTGATCATACTTCCCAGGTAAGTGAAGTGGTCGACACACTCAACCACTACACTCTCTATTGTTAGCCGTGACACAGTTGAAGACCAATCCTGAAGCAACAATTTGCATTTAGGTGGTGAGAAACGCATCCCAAACATTCTCAAATTGCTACTCTAAGTGTTCAGAAAACCGCATCTTGTCAGCGTCTTCACCTAACTGGACTATGTCATCTACGCATTCTGTGTCCGACGAAAATTCTTCCGCTATTAGGTTAACCTCTGTTTAATCGGGTGACGGGAGGGAGATCTTCGTAACAATATCTATGATAAATTTGGATAAGAATGGTGACAGTGGGCGCCCGTGACGGACACCACTCGATGAACGTGGCTTCCTGGACATCTCACCAAGGGTTCCAACACGCCCACAAGTGTTCGAGTAGAGAGCCTTCGATAGGATTATGTACTTACTCTGCACGCCTTTCAGAGAGAGACGTTGCCATAAGACTTCCCGATCAATGGAGTCTAATGACCCCTTCAGCTCGAGAAATACAGCTATTGTCGGGCGTCGGTAAGCGTGTCTGTGTTCCAAAACCTGGCCCAGTGTGAATATTTGGTTGATACACTCGCGACGGGGTCTAAAGCCTGCCTGGTTTTCTCTGTCTTGCTGTTCTGGAGCTCCAACCAGGCGTTGAGGAATTAAGGAACCTAGAATCTTAAACACTGTGTTTGTCAGGCTGATTCCTCTTTGGTTATCACAAGAGGACTTCTCGCCTTTCTTGAAGACTGGGATAATCAGTGATTAAAACCCGTCAAAGGGGATCATATTCGATTCCCATATACTGGTTAACACTTCCGTTAACCTGACTAAGAGCACCTTACCACCACTCTTGAATACCTCAGGAGTTAGTCCATCTGGTCCTGCCACCTTTCCTTGTTTCAAGTTACCTACAGCCTTCTCAGTTTTTGCTAGTGTTGAGGGGCCTAACTCACTGTCCTATTCAGGATCCGACCGGATAGCAGGCAACGCAATGATGGCAGGATGCCAGTTAAACTGTTCCTCGAAGTGTTCTGCCCATCGCTCCAGTCGTCTGTCTTGAGAGTGGATCGCAGACCCGTCCTTTTCCGCTATAGACTCACTAACTGTTGTTGACCCTTTCCCCCAGTCTCCTTATAAAGTCGAAATAACTGTCTACTGTTACCAATCGCCGCCGTCTTTTCCATCTCTCAAGCCTTCGCTGCCCACTACTGTTCGCGGTCGTTGAGTAGACTTTTTCTCAATCTACCACTTTAAAGTTGCGCTTACTCTTAATTGTACTCAGAACCTGTAAGGGATGTGTTCACTTGCATCCATTAGTTTGGAAGAAGCTGCTGATATCCACTGGTTCTTTTTAGCCACTCTTTCAGAGTTGGCTACGGTCTTCAGCGCTGCTTTTACAGCAGACTGGATATGGCACCAAGCTTCTTCTGGATGAGTGATAGTGTTCTGTCCCGATAACTGCGTAGCCAACTTCTCACTGAACACGGCTTTGGTGTTTTCGTTGTCCAGCGGCACTTGTAGTGGTTTTTGTTGCCAAGTTTTTCTTACGTCCATTGAGACGCGGATACCGTTACCGAACGACTGTCGCTGCTGTCTGTTTACACTAAATTTATCAAAATAATCTAAAGGTTGAAATGATGCCATCGTTTGTTTAGAATCAGGTATGCGCCTCTGATAGTTAACAACTGTTTGATCAGTGCACTTCATCCCTGTATTCCCTAATGATGTTTAGTGAAGCTAGACTACTGCAGCAAAAGAAATGAGACCGAACAAACACATACACTAGGCAGTGAATCACATCTATTGCATTTGGGTTAGTGTTAATGCCTGTCTTACTTCCCATGTAAAGAATTGGAAAGGTGACCCGTGTATGTTGTGCCACTGTGGGATGAAGGATAGTTGTGTCATGTCAGAAAATGTGGGTGTTTCATTATTCCCTGGATGGCGTCCGAGAGATCATGTAAGTCGGTGGCTTGAGACCGTAACAGATATACCTCAGAATCGAAAGCAGCAGGGGTCACGTTGCATTTTTTTCTACTGCTCCTATTACTCAAAAGTAAAATAAAAACTGTAAATTCTTCGGATGTATCTTTGAAACTGCTTCTTTAATAACCCACTTTTATTTTTGTTTCCATCCTCTCCCGTTTTCTGTCTTCAAAATGTTGCTTTATCATTTTGTATGAGGCATCTCTGTGCCTCTCTTCTACAAAGTTTGTCATTGTTGTTGGAGCAGTATCACTCATTTGAGTACGGGTAGGTATATCCATCTGACAAGTCCCACAAAGGACGAAATACTTGCCCTAGATTCTTCTGCTCACCACAGCCAAGTAAATTATTCTTGTTATAGTTGTAACAATAAAAAGGTAAGTCTTCCAAGTTATGAAGTCAACATTTATTAGAGAAACTCCACAACGTATGCTCGTGTATTTTCCCGTTTTGCTTTTCGTTCGTACGGATGACTTCCGATGTGACACTACTGTTATCCCAGTAAGGTGTTGATGCAGAAAAGACTTTTTTTCTTAGGGAGATCTCGTTTATCTTGTGGAACTATATTCCTATTTGCTATTATTTCCAATCGGCTTCTGTTGTTCTCTTCGCCTTTCTAATTGAATATCTGTCACATTTTGTGCTGGCTTAAAAATCAACTAGCTGATGTACTCATTATATGATTGGTTTTCTTTTTCTTGTGTTTTTGTGTACTCTTAGTTTCTCTGTTTTCATTTTCATTCAAAATGAAGGAATCAAAGGTAGGAAGCTTATTCAATTTTCCGTGGACAATTACTCCAAATCACTTTTCCAGTGAATATCCTATTAATGATCCAGAACAGCCTGTTATTCTGTTGTCTCCAAATGCTCGTCGTACATTTGACGCTGGTGAGTATGATCATAATGCTGCTTATGTCATTGGTGCAATAGTGGATAAAGCTGTTCGAAGACCAATATCTTCGGCAATAGCACGACAGTTAGGTGAGTGATCTTAATATAATTTCGTATTGTTAACGCCTTATTTTTACTGTGAATCAGCTTAGAAGTGTTAGACTTTCTGAAGTCTCATGACTTATGTAGATATGTTTGTTTGATTTTATAATTGATCCCTTTCGTTTTATATCTTATCGGCTATAATTTATGTAGAACGTTACAGAAAGGAAATCAAATCTCATGTTAACTTCATAACTTGAGGATAAAAATATTTATTAATTATTATTATTTTCACGGGAAAGTTGTTTTCAGATACTGCATATATATATATATATATATATATATATATATATATATATATATATATATATATATATATATATATATATTTGTTTTCTCGCTAGTCAGCTCACAAAACCACTAGAGAATAAATTATTCAAAAGAATTATTGAAATGCTTTAAAACTTGACGAAATAGTTCGTTGGTGAAATAAATCAGTGCATTTAGAGATAAAATTGAAGTGTTGTGTATTAAGGTGTGTATCCACAGCGGATGCGAATGTTTTCTAGAGAATATTTGATGAAACTAGGGAATATTTAAGATGAAGCAAATAGTTAGCTAGAAAGAAATACTATATAACTAAACAAATGCGATTCCATTTTCGTCTAATTATTGAATATCTCACAGTGAAAAAGCATTATTACTGAATTATGTTTTGTTCATGATTTATGCTCGTATCAGACACCCAGACGAATCAACACAGAACCTTGCACAGAAGTGCATCGGTTACAGCTGTCACACTTCATAGTAGTTTAAACAGAACAAACGAATAAAGAAAAAGTGATATCAAAGTAGACAAAGTTGTGTGAGAGAATACACAATCTATAGATAACTGTTAGTATTCATGCTTTAGTAAATGTCAAGGAGTAGAATATATCTGCACCACTGTGACCGATTTTCACTCATTTTACCAAGAGTCCTCCGTTACTGATTCCTTTCTTCTCGAGGACCCCAGCCTGGCAGTCTACATCTCCCACACAACCCAGACCTACAGTTAGCGACTTCATGAACGGGTGCCATGTCTTGGTCTGGCCACCTTGAACCCTCTTCTAACCTAATCCAGCTTTCCCTAGCATGACACATCGGGGTTGGCGGTGGACGAGTATGCGCAACACATATCCAAGCCACCTCAGCCGATGAGAGTTCACAACGTGATCAATCGGTTGCCTGTCTTGCCTAGTATTCTTCGCCTGACCTCAACATTGCTTACACGGTGATTCCACCAAACACAGGCAATGGTACGAAGACACTTGTAGTCGTAGCCGCTTCACATCTACTTTTAACGCTTCTTCTCACAGCCCTATAACAAGACAAATGGACTGTAGCGCAGTATGCTCATCCTTTGATATGTGGTATAATATCTCGTTATTCGGCGCCAGAGATCACGTAGGTTGGCAATTACTTATCGGGCCTTCTGTATGCGAGTTGAGATTTGTCAGCAACCGGCTGTTGCAGTTCGCCAAATTAGTGAAATGGTCGTATCAAGGTAAATCCACATGGTCTATGCCGTTGTAATTCTCTCTTCCTTTGGCATATTGGTAGTAGAATTTTCCACATACCTGGAGCAGGTGTAGAATCGTTCCTATTGCATGTGTACGACGTTGATTCGATAAACAAAGATTCGGTTGTCACTCTTCCTCCACCTAACTAATTTTTGGATACTGTCACTCTGTCCTATCCTATTGTGTTGTGGTTATATGTATTTGCATGCATAGCTATAGCCGAGCTCTTCTCTAGTTTCTGTATCTTACCAGGGTCGAACTATCGTGATCCTGGTAAGTTTTTGGGTTGGAAAGCCTAATTGACTCTAGTCGACTACTTTGGGCTTTGTCTTTATCCTCGCAATCGATGGAAGGGATTTTGTTGACTAATTTATTGTGCCTTATCGAATAATCTACAAAGCTTCTTTCTAATCGCGCAGATCTCTGCTGACCTATTGTGTGAGACAGTGACACCATCTGGTTACTGAAATGCATAGATGTGTGATGGTGTTCGAACTTACCTCGTAGTAACTAAGTCGACAAATAGTCTGACAGGTCTCACTTCCTCCTTTTATATGTATTGGAGCTGATCAGTGAATGCCTGATGTTCTGAAAGCTGATTTATATTCCGCATATGTTCGAATTTAGTCCTGAAAACGCACCCATTTACTATTGCTTTAGAACCTAGTCCAAAGTTTTCTCATGTTGATTTATAACACAATAAAGACCATAGAAATTGGAAAGGGTTCAAGCTTCATTGTTTCAGTTTTGTGTATTCTGGTGATAAACAAATTCACGGTTATGTAGGAAGCATATAACCCTTTGAATTGTGTTGAGTGATTATCGACTGTTTTACAGTAGCACTTAGATGATAATTGCGAACTTATTCTTCCAAAACTATTTTTTAGTCGTGTAAGTATAAAATGTTAAAATAGTATGTATCAAATACAATGTTTTACGAGAAATATCTATTGCTCAAAATAAGTTGAATGGTTTTACTCTCTTGCCTTGGTCTAGTAAATAGGATATTTGGAAAACATCTTGTCGGAAGCTGATTTTGTATGTTTTAGAAAAAAATTTACTCAGTTACTACATGCAGGCTCATAGACTGGACAGTGAGTCACTCACTCTCTTTACCTGACTGCCCTTACTCTGCTGAGTCTGAAATTGTGACTTGCTCGTTTAGCGTTGAATGTCTAGACTAACGAGCGAGTTACCGTGACTATTTTCTAACAATGAATTTTAAATGTCTATGTGGTTGTTCGTTTACTGATGATACTTCAGCTGCCATACGGCACTCGTTACTAGTTATTCGATATTTTTCATGCACAATTGGATGTATTTTCCTTTTTGGAATTTTGGCTAACTTGAGTATTCGCGGGCAAATTAGATTGACACTGAGGAATTCTTCCACTAGGTATTTGATTTCCAAATTTAAAACAAAATTAGTCATCGGCCAACCACAATGATGTATGTTAACCTTTTCGTTTATTTGAAGTGTCATGAAGTAAGGAGATTTAGGGTTTTTTACCCATCCTGAATTACTTGTTTTTAGATGTAGTTCTGGGTAAAGTTTGGAGTTTATGCCGTAGTTCCAGTTTTCCAGAAAAGCAAAAATTTTATGAATACTGCCAGAATGTTGACATAAGTTACATAATTTACAAGTTCCACGAGTTTTAAGCTAACTAGTTATTAAGACTAGCAAACTTGAGAAACGGGTTACCCGTATTGTCAGGCTATACCGAAAAGTCATTATAAACTAAGACTGCTGATATAGTGTGGTCATCGAATACGCCAGGTGGTTTTCTGTCGTGATAACTCATGGTTAATATTAGGGCAAAATACAGATGAATGTCTACGAATTTAGTAGCCGCCAAGTCAACCAACAAATGACAGATAATATGCACATCTACATATTCTGAAGCGTCGCTTTGGCATTGATGGCTTTACAGTCATAAATGTGGCTTAAAATCATATTATTATTAGTGGCTCGATTTGCGGTACTAATAGTCTGGTTAAATGAACTTATCATGCAGTTGTTTTCCGAGGAAATAATCATATTTCCTAACAGTGTGGATCTGTAGCACATTGATTTTGACAGTTGAATTTTAACTAGTGGCTCACGAGTTCAAACCCAGCTCTACCTGCTGAAATTTGGTCAGTTAGCTAACTCTCAAGAAAAAGGTGTGGATCGTTGTCTGGTGGTATGATCTAATGAGGAATCCTCCTTTTTACTGAGGACACCTTGATTTTAGCTTAAGATCTGGTAAATAAGACTTTTTTCGTAGTCTACCTCAAAGTATCATGCTTTGGACTTTTGGGAGTGATCTATCTGCCGAAGTTTTACCAGTCAGCTAACCCTCACAAAAAAGGTATAGCCCGGTGTATAGAACTTAACGTGTTTTTTCGAACTCTCTTACTTTATAATGTAGGACTTTAAATTTCCGAGTTAGTGGCACCACCTCCCGAAATTGCTGGTTTTTACTTATGCCAACAACCCAACGCGAGTCACTCTCTGCGATCATGTCACATAGTGCCTGTCAGATATGTCAGTTGTTTCAAAAACAAGTCGGAAGTTCTATAAAGTATTTGGTTCCTAAATAATAATGCCATCAGAAGAATTACACATCGTACTGGTTGTTTCTAACCTACTTAACTGAAGAACGTGAAGAATGCGATCCAAAACAGTAATTCTACTGAATTTGGAGGTTTTTGGGGGAGTATATTAATTTCAACGGACTTTTCATGACAAGCTAGAGAATCACTGAGACGATCCATGGGTTAGATCCTTAATGGTGTCATTTATGTACACTGCTGGTAAGTCCCAATTTAGAACGAAACAACTATCCCGCGCTACCTGATTTTTTCTGTATTATTTTAACCCAGCATGAAAATTTCTTTGAAACATTATCTTTGATTCATAAGAATGAAAGATGTCTGTAAAGCAGAGTTCTTACGTAAATCAAAACATATATTCTGAAGTTCAACCCTTCTGTTTGTAAGTTCAAATACAGTTGACGGTTGATATTTTAAAAAATTTTAATTCACAAATTCTGATCGTGTCTTCTTCTTCTTCTAGTTTGTTTTTGAACTATTCTTTCCTAATGATTGGTTTTAAGGTGTTCCATGTGTGATGGATGTCCTTCTCAAACCACTGTAACCTGATCACCCATGTTTTTTTACGGTTATCTCAGCGTGTATATAGTACCGATTTAAAAAGAACGTTCGTCTTTTAGTGGTAGTGTAGTATGAGCTAATTATTAGAATACATATAAGTGGGATATATCGAAACGATAGTAGTAACTATTGACTGAGGAGGAAGCAGTCAAAAAGAGTATGGAACATAAGTGGAATGCAACGGGCGAGTGAGATGGGGAAAGAGAAACCGTTTGCAAATGGATAAAATAGTGTTAGGTTTATTATTTTTCCCATTATCAGCTGTATTTTCTCAGCAGACGATATCAGCTACTTCATTAAACTTTGCTTCAGTCTTACGTTACTGGATTT